TTTTTTTTTTTTTTTTCAAAACATTTGCATACACACGCGAATAAAAATAATAATTAAGAAGCGTTGACGCGTCTACGAAAGGTGTACATTAAATAAAAAAAAAAAAAGTGAAAAAAATACATTCTACGTCTCTCGATAAATAGAAAGAAGAAGAAGAAGAAGAAGAAGAAAAAAAAAAAAGAAGAAGTATGAATATTATCAAAAACTAACATCAATTGCGTTACTGTTGTTAAAAAGACTCATTAATTATCTTTTCATTGATTATCTAGAACTCGTAATTATTATTACACTTGTGGTGTGTTCCGTTATTATAAACTTATAACATTAGGTATACCAATGGCGTAGGATGATTTTTATTTCTATTTAAAAAAAAAAATCTAATTATAATAAAAAGAAAGTATAGAAAAAGGGGGAGGGGAAAGAAAAGAAAAAGTGCGGGAAAGTATAGAAATTTAAATATTAAACACTACGTGAATCAAAAGTTCGTACTATTTTTTTTATAATTAATATCTCAAAAAAGAAAAGAAAAAAGAGAAAACCAATTTCACACAATTACTCAAATATTTCAAAATAAAAGTTTCGACGTAGTACAAAAGGAACGACGAACTTTTGGTTCATCCTAAAAAAAAAAAAAAAAGGAACACAAAAAGAATTGTCTTTTTTTTCTTACCTTCACTTTGACACGTACGGCTTCTCTAGGACATGCGAACATGTTCGACATTGATCAGAATAAAACAAAAAACTAAACCAAAAAAAAACACACACACACACACGCAGGAGAGACACACGCAGCAAAAAAAAGGCACGTTTCCTGTTTTCTTTTGCGAAGGTGTTGAGTGGGTTGTCAGGAGGAGGATTATCAAGGGAGGTGGGGGTGACGAGACCCTCACAAATACGTCACTGCTGCAACTTTGGTTACGAGATGTTCCTTTTTGATGCGGGAAGCCAACATCGTCGTCCTAGAACAGCACACCAATTGACGTTTCTCTCTCTCTCTCTCTGTTTCTCTCTCTCTCTCTTTCTTTCTCTCTCGATCTTTCTCTTTCTATCTCTGTCTTTCTCACTCTACTTTATCCACTCCCTTTTCATCCTTTTCTCGTTCGAATCCTTCACAAATTATCTTCTTAAATATTCAATCTGTATGATCATTGATTTTTCCTTCTTCACACACAAAAAAGACAACATTATTCAAAACAACAATTTTCAAAATTACTACTAATCTTTTTCTTTTTTTCTAATTCAAGGATACACACACACACATTTTGCATTTTTATTTATGTCAGAAACGTCATTCGCATATAGTATTTGATAGTTGGTGAATTATTCGTGTTACTATGAATAGTATTCGAGTATCCATTGAACGGTAATCAATTAAAATATATATATATATATATATATATAGTTGGAAGGAATATATATACTCAGTTAAGATTAATTAAAGAAAAATGTTGAGAAAGATAGAGATAACAGAAGAGAGAGAGAGAGAGAAAGAGAGAGATAAAGAGAAGAGAGGACATTGACACACTCGAGGACTTTCTCGAGGACTATCTTTGAAACAGACTTCGTGTTCAATGTCGGCTTTAGATTGATTGGTTCAGATAAATAACTGTTCCTCTATCATTTTGTTTGTTTTTTTTTTATCTGATCGAAAATTAAAAGACAATTTTGTCGTTCTTTTTACTACACAACTCAAGATACTTTCTTTTTCTTTTATCAATTTTTAAAATGTTTCATTTTGTTCTTTTAATTATCATAATGTCACACAACTTCATTTTTAATTGACAGTCTCTCTTTTCTCTACCTTGTTGTGTTGTGTTCTTTTTCATATATGGAAAACAGTAGTAGTAGTAATACACTGCACGGTATTATAGTTAACACTTCTTCTTCTTCTTCTTCTTTTTCTTTTTCTTCTTGTTCGTTTACGCTATAGTCTTTGTACAACACGTTGTTGATTAGGTGATATTTTATTTTGTACACTTGTGCCAAGTAACACGAATCCTCCTATTCGGTTAACTTTACTTACTTTACTTACTTACTTACTTACTTAAATGTTAAATGCCAACAAAGAGAGCTAACTTAGCGTACACATACACACACACATACATACAAATGATCTCTTGAACCATATTACTTGTCCAACGATGACAGAAATACGGTTGGCATTTAATATCAATTGCGATGAATCGAAACTCGTTCGAGAAAATCAAACTGTGCCGTTGTCTGAATATGCTGAGGATCGATTAAAACAATAAAAGAGGGGGAATAGGGGAGATATTGCAAGATGGAGCCACACGTTAGTTGCAGATTTTATTTTCTTTTTTACGAGACTAGAATTCGTCTATTTTTATTCCATTTTTTCTTTTGCACTTTCCTTACATTTTTTTATTTTTTTTATTTTTTTATTGTAAACGATTAATTTTCAAGAGGTTTGTTTTCGTATCGTCGTACATTTCGCATCTTCTCGATAATAAAAGTTGACAACTTCGATAAGATTCTCGTACATTTTCGATTATAATCGATTACGTTCGTTAGTTTTCAAATTTACCGCCGATGGAAGCGTAGTGTTATCGTTGAGCGCGAACAATTTGAATTTCATTGTCAATTTGTCTTTATTTAATATAAAGAAAAATTATTATTGATTAACGTTCGCAGGTATTTAAATAACTTATTATTGACTATTGCAATTTCGAGGAAACGTTTTAAATATTATTCGACTTTGAAAAAGAACGTTCGGTACCGTAAAAATGGACCTCGTGCAAAGATATATTTTTTAGATAAAACGTGGCCTTTTAATATTACATATATATTACTATATTTTCTTTGCTTATACATTAGCCACTAATTTCCCTGTAGATAAACTTCCCACAAATTATCTTGTCGATAACTTATCAACAAATTGCCCTGTCGGTAACATACCATCAAGTTGCCTCGTCGATAATATACCAACAGGGTATTTCTAATTATATTTCTCCTCTGTCGCGCAGCTAACCTCGGCTTCCCTCGGCTTTTTTCGGTTTTCCGACACACCCACACGTAAATTTTGTTGTGTGCTGGGCTCAAGAGAAGGGGTCGAAATTTTCCGCGAACTGGCTTCACAGATTTGAATGTAAACTGTCAAAGTTAAGAATAAATTTCTGAAGTAAAATAAAGTAAATAGCTATGTCACTTACAAAACATTTTCTGTACAGTATATAAGGTAAAAAAATCGTGTAATTATTATAATATATTATTAATTTTTTAAAGCTATGTCTAATATATTTATTTATTTGTAATATTATTTTTTATATATAATATTTAATAATAATTGATTTATTTGTTTAGGATTATATTTCTTCACTTTTCATACAACAATAGAAGATAAAGAAAACATTAAAGAATAAAGAAAGAAGTTTGTTTTTATAAAAGTTTCATTAGATATAATAGAATTAAATATAAATTATTAAAAATGGCTAGAAAAATTTTAGCAAATATAGTGATGGATTCAAATAGGAACGATTCTTCAACCGTCTCTTCTCCATTGCGTAGAAAAACGATAAACATAACAACAAATATGTCACCTTTGTTAGAAAATGATGATGAAAGAGAACGTTTAGCATTGAGATGTCATGCTACTCCAAGTACATCAATTAATACATCTAGTGAAAGAAGACAATCGTTAGGTTTAAGCTATTTAGCACAAATGCCAGAAACTAAAATGACCGAACTCATATCTGAATATATCAAATTGAGTACTGAAAATAAAATCAATCCTAAAAATGCATTTAGTTTACAAATGATTGATTATATGACGTACATGGTTACTAAAAGATATTCAGAAATGACTAACTTGCAAATGGCTAGCACATCGTTGGATGTATGTGCCAAAATTTATGGGTATCGCGTTGACGGTATGTACACAGACGTTTTAAAAATGGTTGGTGCAATGGATAAACAAAAGGATGATAATTTAACTGATATGGAAATAGCACAGTCTAACAAAGATTCAGATGGAGAAGAAGAAGAAGTAAAAAGTCAAACGAAGAGAAAAAAGAAAAAAGGAAAACAAAAGATTATTATTACAGATGATGCATTAAGTGTAACAATAGAAACAATGGTACCCTCGCGAATGACTGTAAGAAAAGGAGAAGATTTTTGTTCGTCTGATATGCTCTACCAAATAGTGTTACCGCATCTTGCTAATTCAGGCTTTTATCATAATATATGCAATGATATTATTTTAGATCAATTAAATGAAACAAATGAAAATAATGAAAATTGTCCTACTTATACTATATCAAAGATAGATGATATTTCTCAGTTAGATCTGTTTCCGAGCATGCCTGATTTTCAATTTTTAAGATGGTCATTRGAAGATGAAGAAGAWATCATAGAGCCTGTACAAGAAAACAATGAAAATCAACAATTTCATTTTGATCTTGATGCCAGTGTACCTTCTGCAGATGAAGAGTATTTTGAAGAAGCGAATTATTWTCAAATGGATACAGATACAAATGATAAAAATATGTGTGMGAGAAATCCGAAACAAACGGAAAATATWGTAGATTTTCGTAAAATTATGACCGAACAAATAATKCAAAATSAGRAAATGCCAGAATATTCTTTCTTAAAACAAAATATGAATTCAATTCATTGGGCAGGACCTTCTTATTGGAAAYATAAAGGTCTAAAAACATTGTTAAGTAATAGCAAAGTAGTAGAAACTTGTCAACATACTGCACGTAAGAAGAGAAAAGAATTTGAACTTTCATTCACGAACGAAAATAAATCTGTATTGGATCAAAAGTTTGAATGTAGCAGARTGAACAAAATAAAATTGATAACAGCAAGAGACAATTGGACGGAGGAGAAAATAACATTACCGGAAGATATGCATTACGATATTACAAAATTAACTAAATTATATCTTAGTCCTTCAATCTCTTCGTATCCTAACTCAGAAGGTCCACTAAATTCAACACAACTGYCTGAAGATATAGAAGATTATGATTATAACAATGATAATGATGTATCTAACTTTTGTCCTGGTATAGATGTCGATTGCGATGCACAAGATAGAAATGATTCAGATGAAAATCTAATAGAAAATCAGATACCATTTACTAATGATAATTTGGTAACAGCACCTACATTAACTAATAAAATTTATGCAAGGTATCCTTCACGTGCCAAAATAATTGACATGCATCAATTAAAGGAAACAATATGGAAAGCTGTTCTGGAAAAGAAAACTAATACTGATAATAAAGAAGAAACGCAGAAAAATGATCAAATTAGTGGCTCCATAAATTTCAGCGACATTTATAAAACTTTACCTGCTAAACTTTCTCAATCTAATGCTAAAGCATTAAGCGTTCCCATTGCAATAGTATCATTGCTTCAATTAGCCAATGAAACGTCTTTAACACTCTCTTCTACTTTAGATGGTTCAGATATTATTATACAAGAAGAATGATTTTTAAGTAAAGAATATTGATAAGTAATTGTAAGAATATTGATTTGTAAATATGTATTTTTTAAATGAAATATAATATTGTACATCTGTTGCCCTATTAAAAGTAAAAATGTTCAATATATTTTTAATAAATATTAGTTTTACATTCTACAAATAATTTCAATCAATTATTTGATTTAATTTAAATATATTTTATTCATTCTAATTTCCTACAGAAATTTTCTTTTACAATTCTTTAAAATAGAGAAATGATTTTATAAGATAGATAAGATTAAATTTCTAAAAATTAAACTAGAAAACAGACTATACTTTGTTCTTAAGCCCCTGTTGTGCGTTGATTATCTAGCAGATATACGATGATTATCTTTCTTGTGTCAGGAAACTTTCGAAAGTAGTCAGATATTATGGGTATTTGATAATCCTTCAACCTAGTCCCATAGTTTGAGGTTTATCTGTAACAGCAATGTAGAACATGCATAGAATAAATAAAAGTGAAAGAGGAAAGAAGGAAAGAAAAAGAAGAAAAGAACGGTCGGTAACTTACCTACCTGTTGGTATTTTATCGACGAGGCAACTTAATGGTATGTTACCGACGGGACACTGGGTCGGTAAGTTATCGACATCGAAACTTGTTGGTAGGTTATCGGCAGAGGAACTTGTATCTATTGTCGCTTACTGGTGGTCTCGTTGCTAACTAAAATCAATTTTTTAAATGAAATAAACACTTTAAATTTTTTATTTAATTCTATGTTGTTTGCTTTTCTGCTGAGAAAATACATTAGAAATAATAATAATTTTTTTTTTTTTTCACTCTTCTCCCAATTATTTTCATTAGTCAGAAAAAGAAATAGAAATTATTTGATATAACAATTCTACGATGTTGTTGATACATTACACGTCCGGTTTGTAAATATCGTAATATACCGGTTTTCAAATAATACCAATTATACAAATCTCTTAGTAAATTTGATCGTAGCGTATCCTGTTGATTTGTGTTTATTTTTTTCTTTTTTTTTCTATTATTACATTTTGCAAAAATGTTAAATGATGCAACCCATCACGGTAATTTCCCATTTTAATTTATCCATCGGTATCATAATAATGATGCGAGTATCTCAACAATAATATTTAAAACTACCAGGAACTCAATAACATTAATAATAATTAATTATTGACGATATAACGCTTGTAAAAAAAAAAAAGAAAAGAAGAAATAATAAAAAATTACAACAACAACAACAACAACAACAACAACTAATCACACAAATTACGCTTATTAATTTATAATCGTATAAATAATAATATTCACATCTATTGAATTAGAGTTTAACGATTACGAATCGATTAATCATTACAACAAATCTTAAACAACACTAATAATAATAATAATAATAATAATAATAATAATTCTAATTCTAATTATTAGTTATTATTTTTTTTCAATATATAATCATCGTTTCTTTCTTTTCAATATAGTTAATTTGCAAAATTAATTATATTAATATATATATTCTAACAATTGTAATCTAAAATAACAAAGTATCAAATATTTCAAATATCAAAATGATTTAATATTACTAAATCAAATGTTGAAAATAGGGTGATGATACTGCTTATACTTGATCCAATACTGGAATGATAAAAGACATTAGTATTCTTAAATGAAATGTTGTTAATCTTGATTCCACGAATGTTCGATCTTTCGACAATAAAAAAAAAAAAAAAAAAAAAAAAGAGAAAAAGAAAAATGGATGAGCATGGTTGTGTTTTAGGTTTAGCGTCAGAATTGCGTCTGCTATTCATTTTAAAACTGCGTGTTGAGACGACCAGCACAGTTTCCCGATACACTTCTCAACCCACCCACTACTACCTGCCCCTTTTATCTCGGCTAACTCGTTACTGACCTCGATAAATCTTCGTTAGCTGTGCTTTCGAATGGGAGATAGTGGAATTGTAAAATAGAGAGAGACAGAGAGAGAGACAGAGAGAGAGAGAGAGAGAGAGAGAGAGAGAGAGAGAGAGAGAGAGAACGAGAGAATGTGAGTGAGTGTGAGTATGAGGGGAAACAGTTCCCATGAAAATGAGGAGTCACGTGCAAGCCAGTAGTTTACTTCCCCCTTTCGTTCCCCCTTTTCCCATGTGCCACCCAACCTTGTTTCTCTCTTCACCCTTTTCTTTCCTACTCCCTCCCTCTGATCCCTTACACACTTTTTCTTTTTTCTTTTTTTTTTTTTTTTACTTCCTTTTTACATGTTTCTATTATTTTATCCTACTTCTTCGTTTTCTACATTAAAATCTCACAGAGAGAGAGAGAGAGAGAGAGAGAGAGAGAGAGAGAGAGAGAGAGAGAGAGAGAGAGAGACAAATTTGATATATTTATTTATACGCGCTGTAGTAGTGGTAGTGATTTCTTTTTTATTGGGTGATTTCAATGTTTTAAGATTGAAAAAAAAAAAATGTAACACGTAAATTTCTATTTTCATTTTGTTTTCATTTTTTTTTTTTTTTTTTTTTTAATATTTTCTTGCAGGAATATTTTCTTCGAGTCAAATTCGTTTTTATTCGTTTCATTTTTTCTGTTTTTTCTTTTTTTTCTTTTACTTGTAT